TTTCCTCTAATTCTGGTGCCTCTTCTGTTTCCTGTGTCTCTTCTGTTTCTGGTGCCTCTCCTGCTTCTGGTACCTCTTCTTTTTCCTGTTTTACTTCTGTTTCCGGTTCCTCTTCTGTAACCGGTGTTTCCTCTGTTTGTGGTGACTCTTCTGTTTCCGGTGTTTCCTCTATTTTTGGTGCCTCTTCTGTTTCCAGTGTTGCTTCTGTTTGTGGTGCCTCTTCTATTTCCCGTGTTTCTTCTGTTTCCGGTTCCTCTTCTGTCTCCTCTGTTTCTTCTGTTTCTGGTGCCTCTTCTGTTTCCGGTGTTTCCTTTGTTTCTGGTGCCTCTTCTGTTTCCGGTTCCTCTTCTGTTTCCTGTATTACCTCTGTTTCTGGTGCTTCTTCTGTTTCCGGTGTTGCCTCTAATTCTGGTGCCTCTTCTGTTTCCGGTGTGTCTTCTGTTTCTGGTTCCTCTTCTGTCTCCTGTGTTTCTTCTGGTTCTGGTGCTTCTTCCGTTTCCTGTGTTTCTTCTGTTTCGACTGGTGCCTCTTCTGTTTCCTTTATTTCTTCTGTTTCCTGTGTTACTTCTGTTTCTGGTGCCTCTTTTGTTTCTGGTGTTCCTTCTGTTTCTGGTGCCTCTTTTGTTTCCGGTGTTTCCTCTGTTTCGGGTGCTTCTTCCGTTTCCGGTGTTTCTTCTGTTTCGACTGGTGCTTCTTCTGTTTCCTGTGTTTCTTCTGTTACCTGTAGCTCTTCTCGTGTCACGACATCTTTGCTTGCATTTACTTCTGTATCATCGTTATCATTATCAAATTGTTTTTTCTCTGTTCCCTCACACTTATCATTCACTGTAACTCCTACTTGCGTCCCAACCTCTTTTCTAGCTGTTTTATCGCTTGCAGGAGTTGTAACAAAATCCTTACTTGAAGCTTCTGTTTCTGTCCTCTCCGATGAAGGTTCATTGTTGTCGTCTGATAGCGAGATAGCAAAAAAACCGATTGTACAAACTGTTTTTAAGTTGTAATATAAAAAAATAACAAAAACTTTAATATTTGATGAGTAAAAATAAAAACGGCAATGCACAACTAATAAAATAGAAATCCAGACTTCTTTGTTCATATGTTATATTCACTGCTACATCATGTCCGTTAAGAGATAAAAAAGTATAAGTTAGCTTAGTGCAAGGAGTCAGAAAGGAGCAATGTTAGCAATGTTAGGAGCAATATTATAACCAAATGAGAAAGAAAAAAAAGCGAAAATGAAATCTTGTTGCAACAACAGAGATCCAACAACAAAATATTTTAATTTGTAGTTTACGTACTGTTAAGGTTAATTCTTAGGGAGAAATGCTGTTTAATTTACCTTTGTTTGCAGATTCTGGCTTCGTCTCTTCTTGTTCTTCTTTCTCGCTAACATCTTCTTCTTCTTCCTCTTTGTTTTCAAAAGACATTAATACATCAGGTACCTTTCTTGCTACTTCATTTTCAGCTTCCTCTGATTCCTCTTCAACATCCTTCTCCGATTCCTCTTCGGATTCGTCCTTGTCTTCCGCTGTTTCTAAACCAGCGTCAGCCGTTGCCATGGTGTCGTCTTCAGACGTCGGTTCTTCGCTTGCAGTGGTCTTGTCTTCATCGTCTTCCGGTTTCTCCTGTGTATCAAGCGTTAGAGCAATATCGTGGTGAGCTTGCTTCACAAGTCGACCTTCTCTTTCTTCGATAGATTCATCCTTCTCTTCGCTTTCATCTATATTTATTTGCAGCTCGTCAGCGTCTACCTCTACTTCTTCCTCCTCGTTTTCATCGTTGTCCACCGACGTTCTATCAAAACTTTCTTCCCCAATGTCGCATTCAGGCGAAGCGCGGGAAGTAGTTTGCAGTTCAGAGTCGGAATCTTGTTGGGTTGAACCAATATTGACGGACAAAGAGCTGAATGACGAAGCTCGATCGTACTGAGATTCTTTCTGTAAGATCTTTATGATATCTTTCTCGTTTTCTTCTTCTTCTGGTCTTCCCTCTTCGGAAAGCTGAGACTCAGCAAAGGAATCTCTCTGAGATTCTTCTTTGGTGTCTAAATTATCTCTTGTCGGACCCTCCTCTTCGTCTTCCACTGGATTCTCTTCGTCTTGTTCTGGAGTAGGCGTTTCTTCTTGTTCTTCTGTTTCATCATCACCAGGAAGAGTTGGAGTATCCTTATCATCATTATCTTCTTCATCATCAACTCCATTTGGTTCGAGTATATTATCTATTGTGGAGTGTCTTTCATGATCTTCAAATCCCACATGATTTTCCTTGTCTTCTTCTCCAGTTTCAGAAGTCCTTTCGCCATTTTCCTCAAACCTCACTTGATTGGAATCAAGATCATCGAGTTCACTGGAGAGCCTATGATCTTCCCTTCTACCACAATGAAAATCTTCTCTTCCTTCCTCTTCGTTTTCCAAATTTTCTTCATTGTCTATTTTGCTGTCACTCTGAATTGGTTCCTACAACGCAATTAGCAAAAGCATTTCTTAGAAACAAAATCATGGCCGAGGAGAAGGTACTGCTGTAGCTTTTTGTGTATTTTTGTACATATTTCTTTCTCACACGTTATTTAAGTCTTCTGGAGATACTCGTGGGAATCAAGTAAGAGTTTCGTGTAGTACCTTGCATTGTTTACTAAAATATCATAATTTTGAGTAAAATTTGATCCTCTAGACTTCATGACAAACCTCTTTTATCCAAACATTTGATTCAAATTAAAATCATTTCGAAAATTTATTTTTGATTTTGTTCGTGTCTAAAAACCTTTAAAGAAATAAAGTGGTTCTTCACGTTTAAGTTACAGTATCTGGGAATCAGCTATTGATATTAGAATTGCTTCCTTTCCGGCAATCACAAAATACACATAAATAGATTTTTTGAGAGTTGCGGTTATCTATAATATGTGACGTTCAATCATGTTACGTGAGACAATGCATTGTCAAGGAAGAAAGCCACTTTTCCCCCATTTGTACCCCTTTCCTTTCGCCTGAGATTTTATGAAATAATGTTTTGTTCTGCAAAACTCTCACACTTTTGTGACTTGATAGACCTGATATTTTGGTAATTCTTTTCACCTTTTCAACAACACTTATTTTTTTTTAAAATTTAATAGAAAATAAAGAAATACTATTCAAGAGAAATTCCTGCTGTCTGCTGAATGAAAACAACGTTACGTTCAAAAATCATTACTTTGAGCGAGCATCAATAATTTACGGGTTTGTACATGTCATTTACCAATATTCAGCAATCATTACGTATTGCTATCAAATACAGTAGTCAACCTTCGCTCAGTGATCGATAGACTCCCGCTGCGTGTGTTGTTAATCAAGTGCAATCATACGAATATTATTTTACCGATAATCATTTTGTCCTGTATAATAAATGTCTAAGTTTTTGTCATTTTTATGTGTGTTTTCCAAGGGAAAAAAGTTTCCATGTTAAGCTGATGTTACACGGGCCGGACGATTCGCAACGACAATTTTTCGCGATACGTTGTTGCGCGAAACATTGATGCTGTGTAACATGCCACGTAGAACGATTTTTGGATTTGACAATGCGTTTGACAATAGCTTCAAAAACTTGCAACGCAGAATTGCAATTTTTTTGCAAGTTGATTCGTGTAACAGCTTCATTAACGATTTTTCGCTCAACGCATACCCAAAATGCAGTTCAATACTCTCATAGACTCGTGAGGCGATGTCAACAAACAAGAGGTGGCTTTGAAATCGCTAAGAATCGTTCCGTGTAACATGCTGATTTTCGAACGAACGTTGCACCTAAAAGTTGACTCTGGTATAGTGTATTAAAAATCGACGAGTCGTATCGCGAAAAAACGTCGTTGCGAGACGTCCCAATGAAGTAGCTTTTTCATGCTTACGAAAAATAAAAAAAACAAAAATTGACGGCCCGCAAACTAAATCAGCATATCATATTCGAAAAAAATTGATTGTTTTCCAAGATGGTCGCGCTAGTGAACGGAAATAAAATTTAGTTGGTCATCACCAAAAATAATTCACTAAACTATCGGAAAACCGTGACGTGGCGTTGCGTGATCGCTATCATATGCCGTGACAAGCAGTTTCGTGTCCCGTCATTCCTATTGGTTTAGCAGTTGTCCCACAAGAGGAGATTTGGTTAGCAATTTTGTTAAGTTGCAGACGAATAGAAAAGATTTCAACTAGAAACATGTTGAGAACAATAATATTTTTGAGAATGACCGCAAAAATAAAACTTTTGAATATTGAATTGTTATTGACTTATTTATTGACTTGTTTACGAGGATAGACGGTTTGTTTTTAATCAACTTGGGCTTTTAAGATTGAAGATGGATATCTCCATTACTAATACATATAACTAGTCTGGTTGGACAAGATGGTCTAAGATTTAAATTTATGCAGCTTTTGTAAGAATCAAATAAAGCTGAGTTTTTAAGATGAAATTCTCTGATTTCAAAAAAAAAAAAAAAAAAAAAAAAAAAAAAAAAAAAAAAAAAAAAAATCAAGAGAAAAAAAGCAGAGGCCTAAAATGCTAAAACTTATAAAGCAAAAGAATTATAACTAGTGTTTAGTTGAATAAGAAGGTTGTGGTTAATTGGAAAGGGCTGGTTTTTGATTATTTTATTACCTGTGTTTGATCCATTGGTCTGTGTGTCTTGAGGAAGCAGGGTAGATAATTTAATGCGCAGAGAATGTTGGTAAATAGTTCATAGCATCCCTGAAAAAGAGAGTATAAATCAGTGAATATTTTGAATATCTTTCTATCTTGGATTTTCTATGTTTGGTTGGTTATTTTGTAGAAATAAATAAGGATTTTTGGAGCTATTTTTAAAGAGGGAGTCGAGGAATGAATAACTCAATTTTGTCTTTTGTCTACAGTGAGTATCTTCACACCAGCTGTCAACATCATTGAACAAGAAACAAAAGAACCTAAGCTAAAAACCTTTTGAAGTCTAAAGTTTGATCCAAGTATTTGCTAGAAAGTTGGTTTTTAATCCAATATTGAAATTCTAACCAAAGTTACTGAAACGTTTCTTTACATCGTACGAAATTGAAACAAGAAAGGAATATCCGCCCTGAGCACGTGGCGATCTGCTTACATCATTCTCTTTGTATAACTTCTTGTAGACACACAAACGTGTGCTTATTAAAACGATATGACTGGTTTCCGATTTCTATTTGGATGAAAAAGAATCTACTTCAAGAAAAGCGAGAATTATCTTGCAAATAGGACTCTAAAATATGAAAGAAAAAGACGGGGCCAGAAGGAGAAAGAGGAGATTGAAAGCAAAAAGTGAAATAGCATCAGACTCCAAAATTTAAAACAAAACCATTTTCGTATAATATCATGATCAAAAGGAGAAAATGTATTACACAATAAAATAAATAACCTATACAATCTGAACTGTTAACCTAACTTGATTCGTGGAGTAGTTCATTTTTGATCAAGTAATATATTTGAATTTTTTTGCAACAAGGAATAAGAAAAAAAAACGTACCTTTTTATCCGGAAAGCATCTGTTGAACCATCCGATCAAACTTGTGATTCAAAATTCCTTTCAAGGATTTATATATTTTCCCAACATTTCCTTATTTAGATGTACCAAGCCACAAGGCTCCAGATTGACCAATCACAGTCGCGATGGTTTGAATCTATTTCGAGTCAACAATAGGTCAAAACATCTTTTAAAAATAATTTTTCTTTTTAATCAATTTTGCGCACACTGGGATGTGTAATTTTTGGTTTTCTTTACTACGCATTAAAAAAAGCTGTATTTTGAGAGGAATGTCTTTGCATCTGCAGAGCAAGCCAAAGGAATTTATTTTACAAATCAAAAATACCTCATTTCAGCAGGGTTTAAATGTCTTATTCACGAGAATAACTGGGTTTGGTTTACAAGATGAAATATTCAGGTTTTGACGGCTAGAAATGTTGTACGCAAAAAATCAGATTTACTTTAGAAAAAATTAGGTACTCATAGAAAACTCATAACAGATCAGTAGTCATAAGCGATATTATTTTAGACTGGTATATTGTGAAAATTCTAAGCTTGATATCAGCAAATGTTGCAATGGAACCTTGCACTCAATCAACAAAAGAAATAAACTTAAGGTTAAAGAGGATCCGGAGTCACTTTGGTAAGCATTTTAGAGCCAGGACATCGATAAATATTTCTTATCTTCACAAAGTCAAATTCTCCCATTAAAATTGCAGAATTTCTAACCATTAGATCTCTTTTATGCTATTAGGCGTTTACAAGAAATAATACGAGGAACTGACAGCTGAATTTCAGTACTATCGCCATTTGAAAGAAAAGAAATGTCCTAGTGTGCATGTTATTTGGATAAAACTGCTCCAAAAGTATAATCATTAACACAGGTATATATGCTACAAAATAATCGAAATTTAAAACAAAATATCTGTTTCCTTACATTGGATCGTATAACTACCTCTATGCTACGGATTTTCTTGAGGTTATTCTATTCTTCGAATTCGCGGTAAGGACATTTCGGCGTCATATCATCCGTGTTTGGCCGGATGGAAAGTCATTTACTACAGATTTTGTACAATCACAAGTATTAGTATTTCCCTTAACTCCCAATAACCATTATTTTAAGCTGTTCAGTATTTCCCGATCAAGAGGGAGGTAAATTAGCAAGGTTTTTTAAAATTTAATTCTTGGATCGAAGACGTAGAAGTTTAATTAATTGTAGAAATAATTCCAACAAAATTACTAAAAATCTAACGAATAGAGATATGCGAAGCTTCTGAACAGAGTACACACCATATATCTGTGAAAAATTCGTAAGAAAAGCATTCACAAAAGAGTTAAGAGACAAAAGCAAGGCGGCCATTTTGGTGCCCTTACAATGGATGCTGTAATAAGAAATCTTTTGTTAAATGGCATCACCAACGCTCACACGAGAGGCCGCGATGACGTAACGTGCAATTGAAGTATTAGTAAGTTTAGTAGACCTCAGCAGACTGTAGACCTACAAAGCTTTGCCTAATTTGTACAATTTTGTTAGTTGACTTTTTCACGGATGAATGGTGTGCACTCTGTTTTAGTAGCATTATCATTTTGTGCTTGCACGAAGCAGTGGCGGATCCAGGATTTTTCAAAACGGGGCCCAGATTTTCCACTTCTTTTCTTCTTCTGACAAGACCTAGACTGCGCATGCGTGCATTTCGACACAGGTAGTCCATGCGATGGCTTGATCTGTTCGGAATACTTGAGCTTCGCAATTTACCAGTACGACGCCAAAAACAAGCTATATCAACAGAACACAATCCAAAACTTCTGTAATCTTTTTAATCAAATCTACAGAAGATATTTTTCTTGATATCCAAAAATTCAAACCTTACAAAGAAGAAGAAGAAAAAAAGTGATGAGGAAAGAAAAAAACAAAAAACAAACAAAAACAAACAAAAACAAAAACAAAAACA